GTGGTGTAGTAGGTAGTGCTGTCGCCTCACAGCAAAAAGGTCACTGGTTTGAGCCTCGGCTGGATCAGTTGGCGTTTCTGTGTTTGCATGTTCTCCCTGCGTTCGTGTGGGTTTCCTCCGGGTGCTCTGGTTTCCCCCACTATCCAAAGACGTGCGGTACAGGTGAATTGGGTAGGCTTAATTGACCATAGTGTATAAGTGTGTATGAGTGTTTCCCAGTGATGGGTTGCAGCTGGAAGGGCATCCGCTGTGTATATATGCTGGATATATTGGCGGTTCATTCGCTGTGGCAAACCCGAATTAATAAAGGGACTAAGCTGAAAAGAAAATGAATGAACGAATGACTTTGACTCAACTTTATATTTTTAAAACGTTTCCATGTTTGTTTGTTCAGTGTTGGATGTGGTCAGTTCATATGAGCTTAAATGTCGACATTTTAACTATCAAAAGCTAGTTGTTATGTTTTATGACGCAGTTCCTTAAGAAATAGAATATTAAATGAGTAAACAGTGGCTGGGGCTTGTTTTTTCTACCTTGTTTTTTCTAAGTAGGCATTTCATTCAGAAAGATGTATGTCAGCCATGCTCATTACCTTAAATTAACACGTAATCTGATCATTTAACTGAAAACAAAACAAGAAGTGCGTTGTCAGATTTCAATTTTAAATTAGAAGGCCAAACAATAGTTTTTTTTAAATGACATTCACAGATGAATTGTTCACCACAGAAGCGGCCATGTGAGCTAATAAAATCAATATGGTTAGTTCTGAATTCTTGGGGACTTTAAGTAAAATTTTTGTTCATTTGTGGAACATAGTTTAATCTTTGTGATCATTTGCTAATATCAGGATCTGATGGCTCCATGAGGCTTGGCAGTCTGTGTCTGTTGCTCATTTGTTTTCAAATTTTAGATGGAATGAAGGAAATGAGGACAACTGCTGTTTTTCAGTTTTTGTTTTCTCACGAAAAAAACGAGATTTTGGCTCTGTTTTGGTTTAGTATAGGAAAACGACTTACTAAAATTCATTATACACATTGTAGGCAGTGCTGAAATGCCCTTTTCCCTATGATTTGTCAACCATATCTGAGCCTGTGACGTTTTTTTTTTAAACACAAAAATACATAAATCAAATGTGCATTTTACATCAAAATTATATTGCAATACATCAATTATTGCAATTTTTTTTTTTTTTAATTTTTGTTACAATCATGGATGACTGCCCTCGAAAAGTGAAGCTGAAGATGAGTTTCCAGTTTACTTTTCTTTGAGGGTGTATCAAAGTTTGTAGTGCAGAATGGACTGAGGTAGATGAAACAGCACATGTTGCATTTATTTACCACTGGTAAACTCTGATCACTCTGTATTAATAAAATTTCTGCTATTTCTAAAACAAGGAAATATAATTAACATTATATGAAGAGAGAAAGAAGTCAGACCAGTGGTGCAGTGGGTAGCACAATCACCTCACAGCAAGAAGTTCTCCTCATGTTAGTTTTCCTCCTTGTGCTCCGGTTTCCCCCACAGTCAAAAGACGTATTGGTGAATTGGGTAAGCTAATTTGTCTGTAGTGTATGAGTGTGTATGGATATTTTCCAGTAATGGGTTGCAGCTGGAAGGGCATCTGCTGCATAAAACATATGCTTGATAAGTTGGCAGTTCATTCCGCTGTGGCGACCCCAGATTAAAAAAGAGACTAAGCCGAAAAGAATTTGAATGAATGAATGAAGAGAAAATGAGAAGATGGATGTTTACAGCTTCTACAAGTTCAAGAGAGAGACCTAGGGGAGAGCGGGGTAAAGTGAGACACTTTTTACATTTGCTCTCCTGTAAGCGAGCTAAAATTTTATATCAGTAAAATTGACTCATTTCTCATTAATTCAGAATGTTTTCTAGCAATGGAATTTATCAGACTGTATTTAGGATGAAGGAAAGTGAAAATATGATTGTTTTAAAAAAAGTTGTCTTGTGTCTTACTTTACCCCAGCTTCGGGGTAAACTGAGACAGACCAGAAAAATCAAAGGGGTAAAGTGAAACAGCTGAGGATAAACTGATCCACTTACTTTTTCCACATAACATAACTACCATAACAATGCATGTTGTAAGAGTCTGAATCCTGACAGCTAGCTTGACAACCACACATTTCAGAACTAATGTCTGACTAGTCAATTATGGATTGGAGATCAGTCATTTTAGCACATTGTTTTTCTTAACACTTGAAAGTAACTCTGAACAAAATCAAATACAACAATCTAATTCAAGCTATTTAAATTTACATACTAATGACAGATGGAACCAGTTAGATTAGAACACAGTCTGGGGGTCAGAATACAGGGTCCTTAGAGCCAGCATAGTATGGGGGTCAGAGAAAAGGACAATCAGAATCAGATAGAACAGCCTGGGACGCACACAGGACTAGATCCAGCTGGATTAAAAACATCAGTCTGTCATACTCTACAACTCCCACTCTTGTGTTTCCCTGGTTTCTTTTCAAAAATTGTGCATGTACCTCGTCGCCAAACTAATTTCACCCACATATTTCTGAATTAACATCTATGTTGAACTTTGAACAACATTCCACTCAACCAATAAGAATTGCTTCTATGATTGTTATCCAACTATTATTCCCCTCTGATTTTGGGAGTAATTTACAGTTATGGCTGGGTTCCTTCAGTACTCATATGTAATTTAATCAATAATTAAATGTTGAAATTTCAGGTTTGCTAAAAATGTTTTTAACGAGTATTTAACATGCATCTTCATTGTGTCGCGTTTGGCTTGATGTGTGATCAGGAATAACAGGAGCGTAAAACAAAACTGCCTCCTCAGATCAGTTTGGTGACAAACGCAAGTATGATTCACTGTTGGAGGAAAAAAGCACACACAGGTCTCAGATCAGCGTTTATTACTGTACGCGTCCTCAACAGAGTAAAATAATGCGGTTTAGAAAACATGTGTTATTTTATCAGACAATTAAAAAAAGATTGAGGTGTTATGATAACTCCTGCTATAACATATAGACCATTTCAATGTGGGGATGTCATTGGCCCATGAACATGTCCTGCTTTTTATCAAGCTATTTCCTAACTGTAATAAGAGGCAATTTTAAAACAGCTATCATAACATTATTTGTCAATATGTGGCTCTTTTTGGATGATCAGAAGCTATAGAAATGAAAAATGTACAACAGAAAATGCATTGGGACCATTGTTTCTGATTACATCCCTTAAAAGTCTATAACAATGTCTTAAAAAGCATTCAGCCAAACATCAAATAAGATTGGCTGTTTTTCTTTTTAAACAAACAAGTGGTGATTTGCCATATATGTAGTGTATAAACTGTAGCCCAGTTTCCCCATGGATTTACAGAAGCAGCTACAGAGAAAAAAGGGATGTTTCCCTAACCTGCCTAGTTAACCTGATTAACCTAGTTAAGCCTTTAAATGTCACTTTAAGCTGTATAGAAGTGTCTTGAAAAATATCTTTATTTACTGTCATCATGGCAAAGATAAAAGAAATCAGTGATTAGACACGAGTTAATAAAACTATCATGATTAGAAATGTGTTGAAGAAATCTTCTCTCTGTTAAACAGAAATTGGAGAAAAGAATAAACAGGAGGGCTTATAGGTCTGACTTCAACTGGATAGATAGATAGATAGATAGATAGATAGATAGATAGATAGATAGATAGATAGATAGATAGATAGATAGATAGATAGATAGATAGATAGATAGATAGATAGATAGATAGACAGACAGACAGACAGACAGACAATACTGGCAGTTCATTCTGCTGTGGTGTGACCCCTGATAAAGGGACTAAGCCAAATGAATTCATATTGTATTGGTTTTAATATTATTAAATGATGTATTTTGCTTTACAGTAAGTGTGCAGTTAAATTGTCTTTTGGAGAGTTACATACATTCTAATGCATTATTCAATTATTTAAAAATATTAAATTATTAAAAATAAAAAGATTAGAACAGGTTAGAAAAATATCTTACCAGGAAAGGCATCTCATGCAAGCTAAAGGCAGGCAAAAAATACAAAAATTAAAAAACATGAAAGAAAATTAGTCTATATAAGAAAGTGAGATGCAGTACATGTAGTGTACATGTGGTTAGCTAAAATTGAGCCACAACATATTGATACTGTTAGACTTTCTCTTATCAGTCACACAGCTGTTATGGAGCAAGGTTACATGAGGTTAAGCACACAAACTTAAGTTCATTTATTTAATAGTTAATGAATATATTTAAAGTTAGAAAACATTATAATTCCTTCAATACTCGTATGTAATTTAATCATTAATTAAAAATGTTGAAATTTCACGCTTGCTAAAAAATTTTAAACGAGTATTTGACATGTCGCGTTTGGTTTGATGTGTGATGATTATGGTAAAGTTCTGGAGGCTCATAATAACGCTTGTGCTGCCTCCCCCTACAGGACGCATCAGGAACAACAGGAGCGTAAAACTGCCTGATACAAGTGTGCCTCGATCAGTTTGGTGACAAACGCAAGTATGATTCACTATTAGAGTAGAAAAGCAAACACAGGTCTCAGATCAGTAGTTTAACTCTGTTCGCGTGAAAGCGTGAGTAGATTAATTCGGTTAAGAAAACAGTGTTTATAATGTTTGAAGATTTTTTTTATATATTTTTACACACGTATAGTCTTTCACAGTGTACAAATAATATGTTTACTTCAGAGTCAGTACTCGTTAGACTTATTCTCGTTATGTCATTCACATGATTCTATCAAACAAATAATAAAAATAAAGATCGAGGTGTTATGATAACTCGTGCTATAACTTGTCTTAAAAAGCATTTAGCCAAACATCAAATATGATTGGCTGTTTTTCTTTTTAAACAAACAAGTATTATATAAACAAGGCTATTCAACATTGTTCTTATTGTTCTTCCTGGTTTAAACGAAATAAGTCCTGACATGCACGCGCATGACTCAAAGAAAGCAAAAGTGAAAGTTTATTTTTGACGAGTATTCTCGGGTTTCTTGTTGAAAGGCTCTCGTTTTAAAGATCATTTATAATAGTTATGATAACTTTGTCTGTTTTAAAACATGATAAAACTAGTTTCCTGCATTTTTATGTCAGTACTTCTGGTGGTTGCTGATGGTACGTACCTTTCACCTTTGTGTGTTGGAAATAACCTTTAAGATTCCTTTCTCCTTTTTGTTTGTTTGTTTTTTCGACGCATTAATCGATTATTGTGTTGTTTCAGGCTTCACTGTTCATGGTCCCTCTGCTCCACTGTCTGCTCCTCTGGGATCTTCAGTGGTTTTGCCCTGTTTTGTTGATGAAGCTTTACCAGTGGAGGATCTGGAGGTGGAATGGAGAAGAGCAGACTCAGAGACTCTGATTCATCTGTATCAAGATGGTGAGAGTCGAGCAGAGGTCCAGCAGCAGGATTATCATGATAGAGCTCATTTCTTTACTGAGGAGATTCAACATGGAAACTTCTCCCTCCGTCTGGACAATCTGACAGCTCAAGATGAGGGAGAATACAGGTGTAGAGTTCACAGTCAGCTGAATAAAGGAGAAACTGTGGCTCAGATAAAAGATGTTGGTGAGTGAGAGCCACTTCATGATTTCTTTCAATGTTTTCTGCTCATCAGCCAATGCAACTGTGGTGAGCTGCTGCTGGGTGTGGACCATATATTTAATTTAGTCTAAATTTAAATAAACTTGTTTGAAATGGTGAAAATTTAACAATATTTTTATGTTTCTTTAGACATAAAGCATTACTATTAATTATTTGCACTTAATGTAAATAATGATTTGTTAATATTTACACTTGCTTAAATACACACACATACATATATGTATGTATGTATATATATATATGTATATATATATATATATATATATATATATATATATATATATATATATATATATATGTGTGTGTGTGTGTGTGTGTGTGTGTGTGTGTGTGTGTGTGTGATTTTATTATTAATAAATCATAATGATTCATTGTAAACCACGGCTTCTAGCAAATTACTGTTGATATTTTTTTAGTCTCTTTATTAAAGCTCTGTTTTTGTAACTGAAGACCGTGAGCTGTTTGAATTATTTATTGTATTTTTTTATTATTTATTTTCTATTATTTATGTAGCCTCTCTCTCTCTCTCTCTCTCTCTCTCTCTCTCTCTCTCTCTCTCTCTCTCTCTCTCTCTCTCTCTCTCTCTATATATATATATATATATATATATATATATATATATATATAAAGAAATCAGTACATAACTGTTATATTATGATAATTGTTTTAATTATAGTGTGTGTGTGTTTTTGCTGGTCAATGAGGATCTGAAGATCCTATTTTAGCTATAGTTGTTAAGTGTTTAGTTATTTGTTAATATAGATTGTTTTATAATTATTTATTGTGTCTATAGCTCAGTTTATGATGTTCTGGAAAATGACTAATTATTTTGGGATTTTATAAAATGGTTAAATGTTTTGAATTCGTTCATAATGAGCTAAATAAAAATAATAATAATAATGGCAGAAGTTCATTATGTTAATCGAATGCAAATACAGTACGCATGTCATTTTACAGAACGGGGTGTTTGGGGGTTTTTGCTGAGCACTTACCAGCAGCGTGGGGGAAAATAAATGAAGCCTGTTATGCTGATTTTTTTTTTCTCTCTAAAATATCTTCAAGGTATGCTAGTATATAGAGTTAGATTTTTCCATAGAAAGAACAGTAAATGCATACGGATAGCAAAACTAGGGATAAAAAAATAATAATTTACTCATTGCAGTATTTATTCACCCCAACTGGTTAAAATATTACCAGAGTAAAATGGCTGGTGAAAAATTGCATTTTCCAGTGTTTAGAAATATTAATCCTAAAAAAATTATTTTCAATGAGGCAATATTAAACAAATCAAATACGAAACTTTCAGTATCTAAAAACAAAAGACCTACATAAAACAGGTTAAATTTATTTTTTATGAACTCGTTACAAGTGTATATTAATTAATTTATAATTATTATAATTTAGTTTGATGTGATTTTACAGAATGTTGAGAATGTTGCTCAAATTTTGCTGTTTTTCTTTATAATGTTGTCCTGTAATTTCTTGTATATGAAATGTTGTGTTGGTCTTACATATTGTCAGCCACAATACACAGAGCAATTTCAACAGTATCTGTTTTTTTTACCATTTGGATTAAAAGAAGTCTGAAGTAAGCAAACTTCAAACCAAAAACTAGAAAAACGAAAGTGAAACTTTCTTTTTTGATGAAATCGTTAACCCTTGTGGAACAGTTCTGTCATGATACTTTATAATAGGATTTGTTTTATTTATCTTTAATATATGATAAAGCTTCTTGCTTGCATTTTTATGTCAATGTTTTTGATGGTCACTGAGATTATTATTACTTTTTTGTTGTTGTTCTGAAAAAATATATATTTACAAAAATAGTTAATGATTTCCTGCCACGTTTATTTTCCATAAGCACATAAATCAATTTTCTGTCTTGATAGGCTTCGTTGTTCATGGTCCCTCTGCTCCTCTGTCTGCTCCTCTGGGATCTTCAGTGGTTTTACCCTGTTATATTGATAATAAGTTGCTGATGGAGGATCTGGAGGTGGAATGGAGAAGAGCAGACTCAGAGACTCTGGTTCATCTGTATCAAGATGGTGAGAGTCGAGCAGAGGTCCAGCAGCAGGATTATCATGATAGAGCTCATTTCTTTACTGAGGAGATTCAACATGGAAACTTCTCCCTCCGTCTGGACAATCTGACAGTTCAAGATGAAGGAGAATACAGGTGTAGAGTTTTCATTCAGCTGAATAAAGGAGAAACTATGGTCCAGATAAAAGATGTTGGTGAGCCACGCTGTTCCAGTTACTATGACCACTTATGTGAAGCTGCTTTGACACAATCTACATTGTAAAAGCGCTATACAAATAAAGCTGAATTGAATTGAATTGAATTGAATTGAGTGAGAGCCACTAGTGAAATTCTGGTGAATTACATTTGAGTTTGAATTTATTTATTTTTTATTTCAGAGCGTTTGTTAGTATTAGGATCAACTCGTCCTGCTTCTGCATATGTTGGTGAGGACGTGACTCTGAACTGCTCTGTAGACTCTCACATCACTCCTGAACACATTGAAGAGGTTTCATGGATGAAAACAGATGAAGATGGAGATTTTCTGGTTCTGCTGTATCAAAACAATGAGACTTTACCAGATTCATCAGTTGAACAGTTCAGAGGCAGAGTTGAGTTCTTCACTGCTGAAATCCCCAAAGGAAACTTCTCTCTCAGACTGAAGAGTGTCAGAACTGAGGATAAAGGAGTTTACAGGTGTCAAGTGTTTGCTGGAGTTTTATCAGCTAATGCAACTGTAGAGCTGGAGAGACTGGGTGAGAAATGAAACATACTAGACTTCTCTTGTCACTTGTGTTAACAAGATGATTTTGATGATATTTATACTTGTATTTAAGAAAATCTACCACGATGCATAATTAGCAAATACATTGTTTGATATGGTGTAATTAGCTACCAAATATAATGGTCACAACAGGTCATTGAAATAAGGAATTACTAAAAATTACAATCTTTCCAGATATTTCTTCAGGATAAACAATGACTGGACAATTAAAGTTGATTTGTGTGTGTGATTGTCTTTTTTTTTTTTCGCAGGTTTCTCTTCTTTGCACATAGTTGTGCTGGTTTTCTGTGTTGCTGCTGGATCTGGAGCTGTACTTCTGCTCTGCTGTCTGATCTACTGCAGATATAAAAACACTGGTGTGTCTGGAAGGGCATTGCTCTTTTTTTCTTGTCAATAACACTGCATGTGCCACTGTAAGTGTTTTGTTCATTTAACTGGAAATATTTTTTATCTTTCCTCAAGTTACCAGCAGCCTAATCTGGAATTTTCAGATTTCTCTGGTCCTTTTTCCAAATATCTGTATGTGCTTTGCATTCATCTTTTGGGGCTTTATTGAAGGTGAGTGCAATTATGGACTTGGTTACTTTAATTTATATAACATTAATAATTTATAAAAGTTAATAAATGAAAGCTGCGATGATAATATTGTTTCAAATTTTGTTAGTCTGTTTGTACATTTTTTTCTTCTTTTTTTTTATTCCGACTTCTTGCTGTTTTTTGTATTTGTTTTCTCAAATGTTGACTTTTCACGTTACACAATTATTTGTCAATAATCATCTATTGGTCAAAATGAAATACTATTTCTGCATTTCTAGGATTTCTGGATGAGACGATCTTTTGCAGTGCGATTTATATTCTGAGGCCTGCAATTTTGATCTGGGCTTTGCCCTTCTTGAAGTATCTTAAAGGTATGCTTTTATTGTAAATTGTCTTTAAAGAGATCAGTAAGTGCATAATATTGTAATTGGCTTCCTGACTTCGCATTACATTATTGTTGATGTATTTTCTTGCATATAAATACACTTAGTAATGAATTTTGAAACAGCAAGTTTTTATTTAAACCATACAGATTATATTTTGATCATATTCTTTGCAATAGTCTTAAATTGATTTTGTCGGATTTTGACTTAACAGTTAGGAAGGGAGTAATATAAAGAAAGTTGGGTTACTGACAAGTTACTGACATGAAAGCTTGGTCTCTTAAATGAAGAGATATCTCATCAGTGGCATAGAAGGAGTTGAGACAAGAAGAACATAACACACTTGTGTTTAAATGTATTGATGATGCATTACCTTTTTTTTCTGTGTACAGACAACCTTAAACCATGGATCCGTTATTTCAAAATCATGCATGTGCTCCATGTTTTCTTTCTCATTGTTTGTTCTGGTAAGTAAATCCACACTTTAAACAACATAAACCATCTTCCTTAACATGTGCTTTATTATATTGACCTGATATCCTCCTGGTTCAGAATGTTTGTTTAGAATTCAGTCATTTATGTATTTCCACTGAGCGGTATGGTATAGTACAGCACAGTTCAGTGCGGTTTTGTTCTGGTCACCCTGATGAAGCTTGTATTAAGTTCTCTTACTTGGTAGGTGTAGTGTTTGTCAGAATGTAGTAATCAACATCATTTTGTTGTTTGGACTATTTACTTATTGTTTCCTTGACGCACTCAAGATCACTTCAAATGTGAACTATGCTTTCTGTATACTGTCACCGTATTACGATGTTGTGTTTTGGGTGCTTCTTGTGTTGTTGTTGTTTCCTTTGTTGCATGTGCAAGTGATGATTGTCTGTAAACCAATAGCATTCAACAATGAGTCTAGCTTCATCCTTTTGGTTCCCTATCCTTACAAAAGGGTGCCAAAAAGAGTATATTTAATTATTTTTAACTGAGCTTCTGACAGTGGAAACATAATTAAACCTAAATGCTTATATGCTGTGCTGTATCGAAGCATACAGCTCAGTGGAAATGAGCCATAAAGGTTCTGTGAAATCACAATTAAGCTTTTTTCTAGTCTAAAGAAAGCTAGTCTGCTCCAAAACAGTGACAGTTCACATTAATAAGATGTAAGTCTTAACAATATGCATTTTCTCAATTTCACCAATGTAGATCATATGATGGTAATGATGTCACTTAATGATTTCTCAATAAAGGTGCCATGTATAGCGTAAATCTGGATATAACTAAATAATAAGAGTTTAGTGCATGGGATTGGTCACACTGTGAGCCATTTTTCTTGTTCACATTTATCTCCTGTGATCATAAAATCCCAGTGATAAACAGGCCAATCAGAACACAGTACATACTGTTAAATTGCACACTGGATTATTAATATGTATGCCCATTTTTCATTTTAATAGTAAACTTAGTTTTTGATATCAAAAATTTAAATGTCGCTGGTGACTGTTAAATTTTGATGTCATGAATGTGATTGTTACTAGTAAAATAAGTCACAGGTTTCAAATCCAGTTCCTGGAGGACCACAGCCCTGCAGAGTTTAGTTCCAATGCTGCTACAACTCTGATACTTGCCAGTTAAAAAAACAACAACTGAAGGACTCAATTATTTTGATCAGGTGTGTTCAATTAAGGTTAAAACTAAACAGGGCAGAGCTGCGGCACTTCTGGAACTGGATTTGACACCTGTGAAATAAGTAATGTTGAATATCAGAAATGAATTGCTTTATAGCTGTATATCAAAAATGCATTTTTAGATATCAGAAATAAACAATATAATGTTAAATATTGATTATAGCAATTCAATTTCATAAGTTTTATTAAATAATTGATATAATTATTTTACATTTTTACTAGTAATATTCTAATTATTGATTATTGGTATTTGCAAATGAGAAAAACAGTTGAGACTAGTAAAGGCTTTTATTTTTGATGTTAGTAATCATGTGGTTAGTCGTATAAATATCTACTGTAATAATACTAGTAAACTAATTTTGTATTATAATTAGATTGGAACAATATCTGAGAATAAAAAATCATGATAGTGATGACCAGTAAACATTGAATATGTAATAAATTGTATACACTACGGTTCAAAAGATTAGGGTTATGTTTAAAAAATTGTTTTTTATATATTTTATTTACTTATTTTAATAAGAAGAAAATTATTTTGTTTATCAAGGCAACATTTATTAAATGCAAAAAAGGTAAAATTGTTAAATATTTTTTTCAATTTTTAATTTCAAATGAAATTACTACTCCAGTAATTATTGCTTTTATTACTATTACCATTGTTAATAATGATTCATAAATAATTAAAGTATATAAAAATATTGTCTAATATAAATAATTTATTTTTGACACAATTGACAAATACCATAGTAAATTCAGGTGGGTAACACTGGATATTGATGTTAAAAGGATCTGATCAATTAAGTAAACAATAAAGCGTGTAAATTATTATGTTTCGTAACATTTTCTTAATTTACTAAACTTTTGTGTAATTGAGACTGAGAGAAACAAGAGCGTTATTTATTTATTTATTTATTTTTGAAGCCATAACGCCTTCTTAATTGACCAAAGATATTCCATATTGGTCATGGCAACCTTTAGAAATAGACATTTAAATAACAAATAAACATATATTGGTAACAACCAAAGAAATTCATATTTGCAAAGAAAACAAAACTAATTAATTTACAAATGAAGTTATGTGTAATAAAATGAAACAAAGCAGGTAAATTGTATTGAAAACGTAAAGAAAGGGAGGTGTAGAAAGACATGGAAAGCCCAGACAGCAGCTGAAATCTCTCAGTAGTTCTTCAGCAACCCTCTGCCCTTCCTTATTGTAAATGAATAATAGCTGCCTCAGTCCAACATCTACATTAGCAGGAGGATGACGATGAAACCAGGGTGGACATTTCAGCAAGACAATGATCCAAAACACAGCCAAGAAATCTCTCAAATGCTGAATCCAATAGAAAATACAAAATAAAGGTCAGATTTAATAGACGAGACCCACAGAACCATAAAGAGTTTGACACTGTTAAAGTTTGTGAAAAAAATCTCACCTGAGCAATCCATGTGCCTTTTATATAACGTAATAAATACATTTCAGTAGTTTAGTAACAAGTTGTGCTTAAGGTAATCTCCTCCCCCCTTGGTACAGGTTAAATTAACGTGATTTATTTTATCTATTTTATTTATGGACTGATTCATTTTAATCAGTAAATGGTGGCAACACTAATCTACACTATTTTAATATCTGTCTTTTCTTTTGTAGGACATATCAAATGCGATGATGTTTATTTTGTATGTATTTCTGTAGTTGTTTTTGCATATAGCTGGACAAGGAGAGCACTTAAACTAAATGTTAAAACTGGTCGGGTATTGTCTGCAATGCTCTTTGGAGGTGTTGTGCTGATGTGTCTGTCGGTCAGTGCAGGTAAGCATTTTGATCATTTACTTTTAAATGCATTTATTCATTCATGCATACATACAGCTGGTAAAAAATTACTATTAAAGACAGCAATAAGATGCACAGTTTTGTTTGTTCTATTTGTTTTTAGACGAACTACTGCTTTCCACAATAATGCAGAAATTTGAGCGGCTCATGAGAAGTTCACCACAAATTAAACTGGATATAATGGATTTACCTTTGAGATGGAAGGAATTATGTCTTCTTGAGGTTTTGCTAATGCCTGTTGCATTATGGCTCGAGATTGGGGATTTCAATTCTTATTAAAAAAACAATCTAGGTAATTCCCTTGAATTGAATCCTTGGATTCTATGCGTTACTGTTGTTATATATTTTGTAAAGATGCCATATTCTTATGTTGTTTTGCACATTAATTCATTCATTTAAAACTTATTGTATATTGACTGTCATACAAAATAAAACCACCACTAGACACTAATTACATTTGTTTTAAACTTTTTTTTTATTTGTTTACTTAATAATCAGATGAATTATGAAGTAGTCTATGATTTAGTTTAAAATGTGAAAATAATAGACTTCTATTCTTTTATTCCAGCATTTGCAATTGTGGGGTTTGTATGGGTGGCACTGGTTTGCGGTGGCTTAATTATATTGTTTCTTTCCTTTGTCTTCAAATGTAAGTTTTGTACTGTATGTATACATTTGTGATGATATTTAAAAATGCTTAGTTGAAAATATGACGAAATTAACTTCAAGTATGAATTTCTTCTGTTAAACACAAGAATATGTTTTAAGAATGCTGGAAAAATTATTTCTATGGAAGTCAATGGGTGCCGTGCAGCTACCAGCATTTCATTCAAGTCTTTAACACTTTGTACTATTTGTAATCAAATAAATAGCATGTAACAGTGCATAAGTATTTCAATTAGGACACACATAGACATCAAATCCTGACCTATCATAGGAAGAGGCACATGTACAATTTTGGAGAAAAATATGCATAAGAATTCCAACAAAAGTTTATTAAATCTGTTCATTAACAGGTCTCCCCACTAGACGCATAACATTATTGGGTATAATATATTCCTTGCTGGGTAGCATCCTGACGATTTATGTTCAAGTTATCATATTGGAATTAGAGAAAGGTACAGTTCTCTTTTTTTTATTTTTAGTCATAAGAACGTAACATTTTGTTTGTTATGTGCTGATAAAAAGTCACTTTTGTTAAAATTGACAGAGTACCTGAAATGGACCACTGTCTTGTTGTTTGTTGATGTCCTGATGATGATTGTGGTTTTTGAGCAAGCTAATAAAGGTATTATCCATCACTGACTTATTATGCTTCCACTGACATTTGTTTCCCCGAAACTGTAATTATTAAAAAAGCATAAAATATTGTGTTAAGTAGAAAATATGGTTTGCCTTACACATGTAAGGAAATCAATAAAGCAATTTTATTTGTAATTAAAATGTCCTTGGCTATATTTTTAGTTGAACATGCATGTATAACAGATGTGTATAGTGTATGTTTGATATGTTTTTAAGCTGTAATTAAAGCACATTGGTGATGCACAAACTAAAACCAGCTGAACCACACACTTTTTATAAATCTACATGATGTGCTTCTCCATTTAACTTTTGTTTTAACAGCTGAAGAATATTTAACACATCCAAGGCCTCAACACCAGACTGAGAGTAACCGTGAAGGACTGGATGCATGTACAGTTGTTACTTACTTCTAAATCCTAATATTAACAAAAGTGTTAATCTATTTAAAATAATCTGATAAAAATAATCTATTCTGTATTGCATAAAGCAATTAGATTTTGTAAAAAAGGAACATCAACTATGTTACTGTTTTACGTCTGCTTTGTGTGTCTGTTTCAGTGTCTCTCTGTAATGAGGTCATGTACATGTTTGGAGCAGTTGGTGTTGTTTTGTTGAGCTCAGTTTCACTGACAGCAGAACTCATCCTGAAAGCACGTGAGTAATAACAATGCCTGTATGTGTGTGTTTGTTTGTGGCATGTATAGATCTTTTGTTGTCACATAATTTGAATACATTTTTAACTAATCATGCTGGAAATTAACAGAACAGTGCAGGATTGCCTTTTACACGAAAACAAAAGTTGTTTACCTTTTGCTTTCAAACGTCCTCTGCACCATTACCCTCTACCTTTCAATGTTATTTCATCCTCATGCTCAGGAAATGGAGAGCGTGTTATTGGGGATCTGAGAGTCATTGTCTTCTTTTCTGAATGTGTTTTTGCTTTGTATTGGATGGTGCTACAAATGCATACTTACTGTAAGTATATGGAACTTATTGGAACAACATCAGTTCTTATTTTTCCAAAAAGTTAAAATTTTACCTGTTTGAGGCTTTGTATGATCTAAATGATTAAATACAATATTAAGAAACCATTATGGAGAAGAAGAAAAAGAACCGACAAGACAAAATGTAATAAATAACAACACATTTCTTGTCATTGAAAGTTATTAAGATTTAAACAATTTTTCTCTCTAATTTGTGGTGTAGGGAAAATTCTTCCAGTTGGGTAAGTTCAGATTATTATTCAGTGTTGATCACAACACAGCTTCTATGCATATTTATATAGAAAGTACATTAAACTATGTCTGTTTCAAAGAAAAATATGCTATTTTGTTTTCTAATACAGATTTGCATGTGATCTATGGAGGTTGCCTCAAAGACATAAACTTGGGGTAATGTAGAAATTATGTCTTATCAATTGATTATGTATTGTACACTATATAGTATCAACTGGTTTGCAGTATAAGGTTTGATTTTTGTAGATTTTAGTTACCAAAAAAAAAAAAAAAAAAAAAAAAACAGCAGTATGATGAAGCATTTCATCATTTACCAAAGAAAGAGAACAAGCCATTAAAAAAAAAAACATTTAGACGAGTGTCGTTCCTGCCAAAAATCAGCTCCTTTGAATTCCATGCAGTCTCCATTTTCCACCCCTTCTACATAAATGTGGTTGTCATCTACCGCCCACCGGGTAGATTAGGTCACTTCTTTGATGAACTGGATGTTCTTCTCTCATCTTTTTCTGATTATGACACTCCCTTGTTGGTGCTAGGTGACTTCAACATTCACATTGGAAGACCAAGAGCTGCTAACTTCAAAAGAGGACCTACTTCTGCTACTCACAAATCAGGTAATCAGCTAGACCTTTTTTACACGCAACATTGCTTCGCTGATCAAACACTAGTAACTCTACTACACACATCGGATCATTTCCTTCTGTCTCTCAACATCAACATTACTCCTGAGCCGCCACACACTCCAACACTGGTTACCTTTCGCAGAAACCTCACCTAATAGACTATCCACCATTGTTTCAGACTCTTTCTCCACCTGGCAAACTCTCTGCACTTGATACGAACAGTGCCACTGATACACTCTGCTCCACACTAGCATCATGTCTAGACAGACTATGTCCTATTACATCCAGGCCAGCCCGTGCCAGTCCTCCTGCACCCTGGCTCTCTGATGTTCTCCGTGAGCATCGCTCAAACTTCGGCCTGCAGAGAGAATTTTGTCGGAAAACCCAAAAAATCCTGCACAGCTCTTAACATACCAAACTTTTCTGTCCTCTTTATCGGCTAAGTTTACTTCTTCAAAACAGACATACTTCCATCAAAAAATCAACAATGCCACTAATCCTTGCCTACTTTTTAAAACATTTTCCTCCCTCCTCTATCCTCCTCCTCCTCCCGCATCCTCCACACTTACTATTGGTGACTTTGCTACATTCTTTTACAACAAAACGGCAAAAATCAGTGCTCAATCTGCTGCACCTACAACAAACAGGCAAGAGACACCACCATCACCACACACACTCACCTCTTTTTCTCAGCTCTCTGAGTCTGAGGTGTCCAAACTTATGCTATCTAGCCATGCGACCACCTGTTCGCTTGATCACATTCGCTCTCATCTCTTTCAAGCCATCTCTCCTGCAGTCATACCAACACTGACTCACATAATTAACACATCTCTTGACTCTGGTTTATTCCCCACTTCATTTAAGCAGGCTAGGGTAACCCCACTGCTAAAGAAATCCAACCTGGATTAAACGCTACTTGAAAACTACAGACCAGTATCCCTGCTTTTATTCCTGGCCAAGATTCTGGAGAAAGTAGTGTTCAATCAAGTCCTGGACTTTCTTACTCAAAACAACCTCATGGACAACAAGCAATCCGGCTTTAAGAAAGGCCACTCAACTGAGACTGCCCTGCTGTCGGTCGTGGAGGATCTCAGACTGGCTAAAGCAGACTCTAAATCATCAGTCCTCATTTTGCTGGACTTGTCAGCTGCTTTTGACACTGTAAACCACCAGATCCTGCTATCTACGCTTGAGTCACTGGGCGTTGCGGGCACTGTTATACAATGGTTCAGATCTTACCTCACTGACAGGTCATTCAGGGTGTAGGAGTCCATCTATTAGCTCAATGACGAAACTAACAGCATGGTCGAAGGTTTAATGCATGTAAGCCTTTTCTAGTGCTTATGAAAAGAATTGTATAATTTATTAGAATTTATTTATATTAATTTATTAACTCCGAATTCAATCTGACTCCAATTTAATTGATCCTAAAATTTAGATAATATTTCTAATTGTAAGAACGGATCACATTCATCATTTATGATTTAATTTAGAGTTTTGATATTTTCTGAGGTCCGATATTCTAATTGTACGTTCATTAGGGACCTACGTCGCTCAGAGTTCCACGCCCCGGGTTTGCGTTTCTTCTCACGGACAATATGTCGGCACTCTGAAAATAGTCAGAGGATGCAGGATTAACTAAATTTGAATAAGCTGGTCGCATTAAAGCTTACCTAGTCTTAAAAAAACAGATCCTTAGCCAAGCCCATACAACTTGCTATTCCCAGTGGTCGAATGATTAAAAGGTCTACATGTTATCGGCACGCAATGGCTACGAATAATCAAATGCGCCAATTAAATCAATTTCGATTATGCCGTACGATAAGGGTAACGAGACTCCACATAATCTACTGGATACAATGAATTCGCAAAACTCCAGAATTAATCAAAATTTAAAATTTTATTTGTCAGGTAAAATTGTATTCTGCCAATTACATAATAAATCATCAGGAAGCCAATTCAGAGATGAGACTGTAACAATACAACATCCATTTATCAAAGATAAATCAAAGAGTTAAGAGATGCATACCTGACCACAGAAATACATTGCAGCATAAGTCTCAGAGATGCTGCAATGGGGTGTCTTTTTACAAGATCTCCCCCCTGTCCTAAAGCACATCTTACCTTATATACTCAAGTCAAAACAAACAGCCATAAATTCAAGACAATAGAAGTGTCACAGAAACCCTGACCTGGTCAATTTGAGGACTTAACCATCTCTTAGGAGGGAGAGCATCTTATCAAGATCTTATAGAAGTCAAAAACCAAATCAACATATACCAGTAAAATATTACTGTAAAATTAAGACCACTTTACCAATCACACAGAGACATTTAAAATGATACCAAACATGAATATAGTGATGCAAGATACACCATATTAAAACCTTAACCATTTTATGTGAAATGTGCTCTAATCAGAAGGTAACATAAGGGTCAAGAAGGGGGGTTTAAGTGGAAGGAGAAGGGGGACTTCTTCGCATTACCCCCTGCTGTTGAGTAGCTCTGTTTCTCCAGCCTGTGATTGCATTGTCAACAGTGATTTGAATAGAACAGTGGAACAGTTGGTTTCTTCATCACTTCTCAGATTAGAAAATCTATTGGAACATTGCATCTTGTCTCATGAAATTCCATAACAGTTCTTATGGTCTGATATTTTGGATCCTTACAAGGGTGTCTTGGAGGAGAGAGGTGTCCAACCTACAGCATCTAAACATTGGGGTACCTCAAGGCTCTGTTCTGTTCTGTTCTGCCCAGTTGCTGGAATGAACTCCCTAACTGCATCAGAACGGCAAAGTCACTCGCTGTCTTCAAGAAACGACTAAAAACTCAACTATTTAGTCTCCACTTTCCTTACTAATATGCAATTGCCTCTCTGACTATACCACTAACTCTACTCAAAAAAAAAACTTACATTACTAATGCTTTGCTTCTTAGACTTTACACACTTGAAACCCGCCTACTGCACGCACTTATTCATTGTTGCTCTTATAGTTGTATAAATTGCTGCCTTGTTCTCATTTGTAAGTCGCTTTGGATAAAAGCATCTGCTAAATGACTAAACGTAAATGTAAATAAGTGATTGTAATCTTATGTAGGATTATTATGTCAGTGTTTTAACTTTTCTGTTTAAAGTTATCTGAAAT